AGCATAGCATAGCATAGCATAGCATAGCATAGCATAGCACAGCACAGCACAGCACAGCACAGCACAACACAACACAACACAACACAACATAACATAACATAACATAACATAACATAACATAACATAACATAACATAATATAATATAATATAACAATATACATTAAGTTGTTTTTCTGTATAATGAGATAGCAGGGAAATGCTCTTCTCCAGGGCTATTTTCTTGGAAATTATTATTTTTAAGGGAATCAAAAATACTGAACACCATAAAATCATCCTCCTCCTCCTCGTCATCTTCCTCCCCTATTTAACATATACCCTTTTTGTCCAACAGCTTCTACATGTGACTGATTCACAGAGTGAGTTAATTTAAAATCAGAGACTGGATAAGAAGCTTGCAGTAAGCACATATTCAAGCATCGCTCTATTCTAGTAGCTTTTCAAAACAAAAAACTTCTCTCACACACATACAGACATCTCTACTGCACAACCTGAGGGCCTAAGACCCCGTGCAGCCCCTCAAGCCTTAGATGTGGCAGCCTCAGTGCAGCCCTCAGAAGAAAAAACTGCACTCCAGGATTATTCTGTCAGTTACTTTTACTTTTGCCCAGCCATGCAAGAAGATTGGGTTGGTTACGGTGATAACTACTTTATTAAACCCAACATCAGATAGTCTCACTCACTATGAAGCTGGAGAATATCCTCCAAGTTCGAAAATATATTCCGCAGGTCAGAATGTGTCAGAATCCCTTCGCGGGACACACGCTGATAGAACAACTGATCCAGGACCTTCAGCGTACGGACATGAGCACGTTCAGTATAGAATAATTCTGGAAATAAGGACAATGAATAGAGTGACTGTGGTTGTCTTCATAAGGGAGAGGGAGGCATTATACAAAGAATGGATGGAGAAAGATCAGCTTCAGGATGAATATTAAGAGGTATTCCCTGAAGATTAACAGTTGCTAAACAATAGAACAAACCCTCCTCATAAAGGAGAATCTAGACTGCATTCTTGGACTGTCCTTTACATCTGCCTCACTGCCCCAACTATATCACAACTGGCACTGCCTTGAGAACTAAGGCAGGCCAACCTCCCCCTCATCTTTGTAGAAATCTTCCTCTGGACAATGTGACTCAAAGCTCTGCAGTTTTGAGGGTTGACACAGCACCTTGGCTACAGAAAACAAAGAAACAACAAAGCACTGGATTCCTCTGGTTCCCACCTCCACCCCCCACCAAATAGCTTACCATTAATCACTTCCTGGCGTTTAATTTCAGATGGTTTCAGGCCAAGCAACACTTCACGGCTCACCAGCTGCTGCCAGTTGGGCTGGTCTGTCTCCATGTCGAAATCAAAGAGCTCATCTTCACTCTGGACATCCCCAGCACTGACACTGTCCACCCTAGGAAGAGAGAAAGGAAACGTCTCTTTCACTTGAGCAAGGCACTTTGTGGGAAGAGTAAGAAAAGCAAGCTAATAACAACATAGCCTGGGCACCTGATGACTAAAACTTGCCTTATGGTTAGAAATGATGTCTAATAAAGCTTCTGCCATAAATTTGGCACTCTCTCCTCAGTATTTTCTTTTTACATTTTAGGTGAAGAGACCTAAATTTCCCCAATGATAACATAACATTTAGCTAATTTTTAATGAGGATCCACTTGCCCTACACCATATCTAGGTATCACAGGCAAACTTTATATGAATGCATTTGGATTTTTAGTTGTCTCTATCCAGAGTCACTAAAGGTACTGGTAGTTTGTGGGACTTTTCCTTGTTCCACTGCAGTCAGACTATTATAGGAAACTACTGCCAAATCTATTTTAAACACACATATACTTGTACTCACTTGCGAAAAGATTTAGGAGTCCCTGATTCTCCTAACCTAGAAAGAAAACCAAACTTTTATGAAAACATTACTTGACAGACTGATTTTTTTACTGAGCACTTTCGACAGAGAGTTCAATAGTAGCTCAAGATGAACTTCATATCATTAAGCAGTGCAGTTATAATTTATAACACTAAAAAAAGTGGTAGAGAATCAAAACATGTAGGCTGTCACCATTTTAGTTCTAAAAAGACATTCTTTATTTAATTCTCCCCCCATCCTACCTCTAAGTAACAAAACTTTAGTGGTGCTTAAGTTTGAGGCTAAGACTTGCCTATCAAGTTCTTCTTCTTCTTGCAAATGGTCCAGGGGAGGAGATGGGAAATCAAATATTATGTTAGGTGTACAAGGTGTGCCATCCACAGAGTCACCAAAAGTAATTGTTTCTCCAATTTGTTTTGGCCCTTAATATAAGCACACAAACAAATAAATAAGACAGAGGGCAGGCAAAGCTGTATTAAACATCTAAAAACATTCACTTTCAAAAGTGTTTTCCACTACTCCTCCATCTAATTTCCTACAACCACATCATCTCTCGAAAGAGATAAGTGGCCTTTCAACAATCAGAAACCTATAATGCGACAGTGACCTGCATAACAATTGAATAATTTCTCTTATAACTAGAAAACAAACAGAGGCATGTCCAGGCTATAATGTAGTTTTTAGCAATAACTATCTCTTTACCTGTTTCAGTATCTTTGCTCCCTTCCTGAGATGGAAAAGTTCCAGCAGCTACTGGAGACACAAAGTTAGCAGGCTGGTAGGTCGCATCCATGCCATCACTGAACCCACTTTGGCGCATCTTGACCAAATCTGGTGGCTCCGGACTGACAGAAGATGATGAGGATAAGTGCTTTGGATGACGCGGCTTTTGTATTTCCATGGCTCTGCCTACTGGATAAATAAGGAATAATCAGCAATGCAGAAAAATTACTCTCACCTGAAACCTGAAAAATATATCCACCACAGTCTAGCAACATTTAGCTTCAGGATATTATGATCAAATTACTAGAAAAGTAATATATTTTTATCTTCACTTGACATACTTGCATAGCTGTCATGGCGGCTCGGCCTCCTTGGAGGTCCCAGGATATTTGAGAAGACTCTCCTCTTCTTTTCATCCCCTTCCTTATCCTTCTTTATACTTTGCTACAGTTGAAAAGGAGCCAAGGAAATAGTTGTCAAAGGTGTCCCCTCTCATGCAACCATTTATAAGGGAACTTTTAGTTATTCAGCAACTCAGAATTAGCAAATGATCTTACACCACCCTTCTGCTCCTTCACAATGTAAACAATTGTTGTGTAAAGACCAACAAGAGACCAACACAAGTAGATGCATGGTCTCCTGAAACATCTAGTGCCTAAAGTAGAAAACTGCAATGGTCCAATGAAAGGGAACAATCCACTGAAATTCCCTTAGCAAGCCCTATTAAAATGGAGCTGCTTTACAACATTGTACTGACATCCTTTATTAACTCTCAAAACTGAAACTTTTCACTATTTGGCAATAGCTTCTAAAGAAATCGATTTCTGGTAGGAGACTGAATACACTTTTGAGTGCTCTCAGTCCATGCACTAAAGATGTGCATAATGCTTAATTCTGACTATACATAGGATGTACTCTAGTTTGTTCCCAATATCAGATTCAGAGACTCTATTTTCTGCTACATACAGCTGTCCTTCTATTGAAGGAAAAGGACATTTTGCAATATGTCCAAAGTGGCAGAGACATACGGTACCACTTAAGATCAGAGTTATCTTTTGTTAACATCATGTCATTAAAATTGTTACACGTCAGTTTACCAAACAGTCACCTGGTCAGAAAGCCTGATTAAAAAATGTGTCAACTTTACCTTTATCTTTGGCAGGAATCCAATCCGTCCCCGTTTTTGGTCTAGACTCCGGGGCTCTTTGACTCTCACACCAAGGTGTTTCATGTAGGTGAAAACCACATACTGTATAGCTGAACTATAGATGGGACCAAACAGAAGAGCAGAAAAACAATATCAAGTTACTTCATTGAAGGGATGGCAAATGAGTTTCTCTGTTTACAAATGTATTTCTCTGACACCAACAGCAATTTATATTGTTATGACCCACAGCAAATTAAGAGCTATCTAGAGATGTTTATGTCTCTATGATTTCTACCATCTCACTAATGAAATAATCAACACATTATTATTATAGCTACTACTATTATTATTATTATTCTGAAATTGTTGATTTAAGTGGGAATTAGTAGTAGTAGTAGTAGTAGTAGTAGTAGTAGTAATAATAATAATAGAAAAAAACATTATGCAATCCAAAAAGTATTGAACTGCAACTTCACTGAATACTAGTAATTACAATCCTCATAAACCCAGACTATGAGAAGGGATAAAGCACATGATTGGCATGTACAGTTTTAAATTCAGTCACTGGCATTTCTCTAAAAATAAGATGTGGGATAGGAAGATTGTGAAAGATCCCCTGCCTGATATTATATAGACCAGGACCTGTCAGTTTATACTGTAATCTGTGTAAGAGAGAAGAATATATAGAAGATAAATGTAATTTGCCTAAACAGCCAATAGAGGACTCCACCAGTTCAGCACACATAAACCAGGATGGAAAGATTTAGCATGATTGTAACCAGGGTTTAATTACCTCTTATCCTCTTCTAGAGGCTGAGATGACATCCTGCGAAGGAAAGAGGCAAAAATGAATAAAAAATGGCAGTTTCAATATTCTTATTCTCCCTCATTTAGGGTTGCAAAGACTGGATTTTCCATCAACCCAAACTGTTATACTACAGAAAATAGTTTGACAGGAGGGTTAAAGGTATGGAAGATAAACAAGTATCAGATGTAGGGTGCATAAAGCTTCTACATTCCACTGTTGAAAGATATCAGCAAGAAGTCTCAGATCATGACAAAAAGGAACCAACACTGGATAATCTAAGGTATACCTTGTACTTGAATGTAACTACCATGGCTAGTGGTTATTAACAGGCATACCACAAATCTTCTGGATATCAAGCCCTCTCTTCCTCTGCAAAATGTACAGCCCTACTTTGTGACAATTCATCAACAGAAATAATTAAATATTGCTGGGCCCCAGATTCATTTTTAACAGCTGGACTAACAGCTGCAGCAGAACAACACTTTGAACTATGCAAAGCTCAGAGCAGCATCTTCCCATAAAATTCATCTCTGGGGAAAGATGCTGTAATTTTCTCCCTCACCAAGTTACCACCTCTTCATAGGAGAGCTAAAGATTATATCTGCCTCAGGCATACTTACAGCACTTCTTCAATTTTGGTAAGGATTTGCTCTGCACATGCTCTCTCCTTCTCTAGTGTCATCCGGTCCCGAACACGTTCTGCATCCAGCCTGGTCAGTTCTCCTTCTGCTAGAGTGAGACCCATGCTGCGTTTCTGTCTGAAGGCACAGAATGAAGAGCAAGAAACTGTTATGGACACAAGAAGTGAAGCAATGGATGCTCACTCTCAGGATGTAAGCAGGTACTGCTGCAGTATGTCATCATTAAATACCCCTTTGGTATCTCAGTGAATCCTGTCAATTGAGAAGAATACATTATATACCATCTTATGTAAAAAGAATACAGGTAGTCCCGCTTAATGAACATTTGTTCAGTGACTGTTCAAAGTTATGATGGCACTGAACGAATTGTAGTTATGACCAGTCCTCAAAGTTACAGCCATTGCAGCACCCCCATAGTCACGTGATCAAAATTTGAGCACTTGGTAGCTCACCCACGTTTACAACCATAGCATGTGCTTCAACTCTCCCCACCCACCTATTCCGCCCCCCCCCCCCCGGCCCTAACCAGCTCCGTCTGGTGGGCGCCCTCCCCCCCGCGGGGGGGCGGGAAGGCGGGGTGTGGGGGGGGGGGGGGGGGAATAGGTGGGGGGGGAGAGTTGAAGAACATGCTATGGTTGTAAACGTGGGTGAGCAACCAAGGGCTCAAAATT